GAGCTTTGGATTGGGCGACAACTTAGTCTGAAGCATTTCCATGTGTGGAATTGTCCAGCTGAGGCAAGACCTTATAAGTCAAATGAAAAGAAATTGGACTCCCGAACAGTAAGTGGTTATATTATTGGTTATGCTGAAAGATTCAGGGGATATAAATTTTATGATCCCACATTAAAGACAATTTTTGAGATGGGAACTGCTACGTTCTTTGATGATATTGAGTTTGGGAGGAATAATAAGATTAAGAACTTCTTCTTGGAGGAAGAATCGGTAACAATTTCAGAACCGATTCAAATAGTTACTTTTGATAAAGTAAGTTCAGAACCTCCACAAGACATTGTTGATGAACCCCTTACTCAAGATGATTTGATTGTTCATGAAGAACAAACTCAAGATCCTCAAGAACCTGTGCATCATGAGCTAATATCTTTGCAGAGATCCACTAGAGAAAGAAGAAGTGCTATTTCGGATGATTACATGATATTTCTTCAGGAACATGAGGAAAATAATGATATAATGGAAGATGACCCAGTTAACTTCCGTCAAGCTATACAAGGTTCTAACTCTAAAAAGTTGATTGAAGCAATAGGATAAGTATAAGTCCATGCAAGACAATAAGGTTATTGGGAACTTGTCCCATTACCAGAAGGTATGAAACTCATTTGGCTTCAAGATGAATATTGTTGATGATTGTATGTATCACAAGTTTAAAGGGAGACAAGTTTAGTCTCAATCAGTGCCCAAAGGGAATTTGAAAATTGAGGAAATGCAAAAGATTCCCTATGCATCAGTTGTAGGGAGTTTGATCTATGCCCAAGTATGTACGCATCCAGACATAGCATATATAGTTGGGGTTTTAGGCAGATATTTAAGCAATCCAGGAATAGACCATTGAAAAGCAGCAAAAAGGGTCATAAGATATTTAAAGAGAACAAAAGATTATATGTTCACATATAGGAGGTCAGACCAGTTGGAGATCGCTGGGTTTTCTGACTCAGATTTTGTAGGATGTCAAGAATTTGTAACATGCTATGAGACATCAAATCATGGAATATGGCTGAGAAATTTTGTCACAGGGCTGCAAATTGTGAAAGGCATTGAAAGACCACTTAAGTTATATTGTGGCAATAAATCAGTTGTATTGTTAAGGAAAGAGTACAAAGTGGATAGATTTTCATAGAACACTTAAGGACAAACTCCATAATAGCATATCCTCTAACTAAAGGACTTTCACCTAAGGTCTTTCATGAGCATATTGCTCACATGGGTGTTTTACAGTTTGAGGAATTTGTGGTTTAGTGGGAGTTAGTCACTTTCATATATTTTATGTTCTATGTTTAATTTCATATATGTATACATTGATTTTGGGACATATTTGGTTATCTATAGATATGCGATTTTTTCGTTCATTCATTACAATTTGTTCGATCTCGATAAGTTAAAGTTTGGACCAGTTGAAAATAGACGTGTACAGATCACCTTCACGTAATTTTTCATGCTACACATTTCATGATGAATACATGTCATTTGGTTATGTTAGGATGAGTAATCATTGTTGGTTTTAGTTGCGATGATGCAATGAAAAACTGGTTTGGTTCTATATCCTGATATGATTAATGGACAAGACTTTTGGAGTATGCTAAAGAAATATAATGGCAATTTTGAGCTCATAAAGTCTAACACATTTGTAAGGTTGTAAGGACATATATATTTGTGACCAGTGGGAGATTGTTGGCAAAATTTGGGTCATGTATATATATGATATATAATTTAAATGTGTTAGGGTCATTATTTATTAAGCCAAATAATAAAGTGATCTGACTAAATTAAAGTTTTGGCTAAATGCATATGTCATGAAAATAAAATTGTGTAGAGACCATAGAGCAATTTCTAATTTGATGAGGGGTCAAATTGGAAATACTAAAACTTAAGTAATTAACCTAATTCTGGTTATTTTAAGGGGTCGTGGTCCCCTTCTGGGAGCACACACACAGAACGTAAGTATCAGTCCCGTTCCTTTCTTTCTATCCCCATCAAGAGAGAAAATCAAGAGGGAAATACCGGTGCTCTTCAGGTGGAAGACCATAAGATCAATATAGTGCTCTACAAAGACATCATCGTTATGACTAATTCGAGTACGCTTTCGCATTCAGTTTATAACATGATTATCAGTATGAGATTATGTTTATGTTTGATCATTAGAATCAAAATCGGGATTATTATTATTATTATTATTATTATTATTATTATTATTATTATTATTGTTTTTCCAACAGGAGGCAATAACTCATTGAACTCATGAAAAAGAGCGTGAATTTTGCCCATATAGTCAGTCATAGAATCTTGATGTTTAAAGGAAATAACATCTACAAATTTAGAACAAATATCATAGAGACGTTGAGTATCATTGGTGTATAATAACTTAGCACAGATTTTGGCACATGTTTCGTAGATTTTGACACATGTTTCGTAGGAACGAAAAATTTGTTTTAACGAAGGATCAAGAGTACCCTTGAGAACCACACATAATTGAGCATCAATGGTGTCCCAACGGTCTTCCTCACCAGGAGTGAGAGTAGGTACTTTCGGGGCAAGATGATCAAGATACTTCTGACTCTTAAGCCATAATATGATATTTGATGACCATGTGGCATAATTAGGGTCAGTTAACTTTTCAATGGATAAATGCACATTAACATAGTTAGTGTAGATGGAAGGATCAGACGCAATACTGACAGAATTGAAAGTACTAAAAGGAGCGGAAGAAGTCATAAAGGGCGGAGGCGGCGGAGGCGATAGTGACAACGGCGTGAACCAGTACACCAGGTAAGTTCCCAGGAAAGAGAGGTGGGTCACTAATCGACACGCTTAAATACCAAGTCTTTCCTTATCAGAACCTTCCTAGACATGCACTTTCACACTACCAAATAATATCCAGTAACAAAAATAACGTTTTTCTGATGTGCAAGATCAGTTTAACCGACAACGATAGCGGCGGTGGTGGCGGCTCCAACAGTGGTCAAAGGCGAAAAAAAAATTTCAAAATAACCTTAAGCTCTAGATTCCATGTTGAATATAGAAAAAATAGAGTTTGGAATTAACCTCTATAAATCACACATAGGGTAATCTATTTATAGTAGAGATATACAACTAAAAGAGTAACAGAATAAACAGAAGATATTATTTAATATTATGGTTAACAATATCTAACAGTAACTTAACAATATCAAATAATATCTTAACAATATCAAATAATATCTACCAAGAATAATCAAATTGTTTTTACGTACTATTTTTATACCATTATATGTGTATATAATAAATATTGAGTTTTTTGAATCATTCATCTTAGTGCGAAAAGAAAACCTGGAAGCTCTTGAACGAAGGGTTAACCTCAGTGAATCCATATTCTCTCTATTCTGAGAAGTGGTCTCGAATCAAATTACTTTCCTATCAAACAAGTGAGTATAATCTCATGTCGATGTTTCTAATCGGTGGCGGATCTTCTTGGGAGTGAGGGGCCGTGGCCCCAAAGTTTTATAACTCCCATGTAATTTATGATTTTAGCTTCCCAAACTTAACAAACATTTAATATATTTACTTGTATATTTACAATTCTATCCTCTCGACCTCTCCTCAATTTTGTAACTCCCATGTAATTTATGACTTTGTCTCCTCAAACTTAATGATCATTTAATATATTTAAATATATATCTACAATTTTATCCTTTTACCCTTTTATCTTCTTTCTTCCTTTTATATTTATTTATTATTTATTAATAATATATTATTTTATAGTCATAAATTTTGTAATTTCTTTGATTCATGATTCATGTGTTTCTTTGTACTTCATTATGACAATTTTTGTAAAAACTCAAACAAGATATTTTACTCTGTCGCCGAATTATGACATTCGACAAATTATTTTATCTGGTTGTTTCTTAATTAATTCTCACTTGATTTGTCTTCTCAGTGGAAATGCAGTGGTCAATTATAGTTTATGCTTGTGTAATTAATTGATTTTATGGATTTGGGTCACGCAGCAACAACAACGCGAATAGTGAAGTTTTAAGATCAACTGAGGATGATGGTGTTTTTGTCTTTGATTTCGTCAACTTGGGTTACGACAACATGGAAAACAATGATAGAGTTTTATGGTCAATTGAAGAGGATGTTTATATCATTGATTCCGTGAACTTAGGTCACAACAACAACATGCAAAACAATAGTAGTAGAATTTCACGATCAACTGCAGACGGTATTTATCTTTGATTCCATGAACTTGAACAAGAACCAGAGAATATTGTTGGAGTTTTAAGCACGAACCCTGCAAACCATGACTCTGTTAGAATTCTTGAAAGGTTCGCGATTGAAGAAAAAACAGAAGACTCCTGTTCTATGTCTTGGGGAACTTTCAGTTGGATCAAGAGCAATTCGCATACCATAACCTGTGTTCTCATATCCTTCATCAACACTGTATCACAAAGTGGCTCAACATCAGTCACTCATGTCCTCTTTGTCGTAGGAACATTTAGTTACAATACTTTAGTAATATTTTATGTTCTTTTATCTTGTTTGAACATTTTGTGTACATCCAAATTAACAAATTAGTATAAAGAATTTTATTGTTAAAGATGATTATCTAACCAAGCTCTGTTAAGATTTTTCTTTCAACAACACTTACTGATTTTCATGGTTGTCACATGACTTGGTTAATTAAATCTTGAAGACAATCTCTTCACTGTATATGGGTTGAAGTTAGGTTGAGTATGATCTATCGTTTAACCCAATAAATAAAAAATTTAAATTGGATTCAATCGAGTTTGTATTATTTTTTTGACTAAACTTGACATTTAATACAAGAGATTCCAGAAAAACTCAAGCCATAACAAAGTTCCCTTTATTTGTTAACATCAAGTTTCTATGTTGAAGCCAAATTAAGAACTGACCAGTAGAAACTCAACTTCATCACACAACTTTATTTTGTTAACACAAAATGGCTAATCGTCCAAGTGAAGGCTCTTTCTGTAGCTTGCAACAAACTCATAAACCTCTTTTTCATCAGCAAGAGATTTGGAAACACTCTCCCTCTGATTGCATCTCTTTGCCCAAGCAATGATCTTAGGACACTCCGCCTCCACTTTGAAGTTCCCCAATTCCTCATAAGTATAAAACCAGGTGTAGAAAGGGACGAGAGCAATGTCAACAAATCCAAATGTTTCACCTCCAAAGTAAGGTTTATCTCCAAGTTCCTTCTCCAATTCCTTTAAGCTCTCCACTAACTCCTTCTTTGCCACTTCAATCCCTTCTCTCTTCATAGACCATATCCTCCCCCCAACATCACCAACCTGCATAATTTAATTCATGGAAATGAAGTTTTCAGCAGTGATGTAACTTTAAAAAGTATCCATAGATGAAATTTTAGAATATGAATGCAACAGCATCATCCTGTTCAATCTCATCAGGAACAAAGAAAGAAAACTTGGATGCTATTACTGAATTGTTGTCATTCAATTCTCAGATTCAAATTAAACTAAAAGGTAATTCACTTGTGGTGGGATTGTCCGATTTGAGAATTTGAGAACATAAATATGGGGAACTTGACACTAAGTTATGTTCTAAAAGTATAAAGGGGTGATCTAAGTTTGTCCTAAAAATGAATTGCCCATCATGTTTTACAATCCAGCAATAACTGTTGATGTCATGAAAAGAGAAACAACAAAGAAAAAGACAAAACTTTGAATCAAGAGGCACGAAATTGGATGCTATAATAATTGAAAATTGAGCACCAAAAATATACCTTCTTGTTGACAAAATCAGCCCAGAACCTGGCCTGAGCTCTCTGATAAGGGTCTGAGGGTAGGAAAGAAACTTTGTCCTTGCAAAGCTCATCAAGATACTCAACAATAATGATGGACTCACAAATGGGTTTCCCATTATGGATGAGAACTGGGATCTTCTTGTGAATTGGGTTCATTTGCAGAAGCAGTTGACTCTTGTTCGACAGATCCTCTTCCCTGTACTCATACTTTATCTCCTTTTCTGCCAGTGCGATCCTCGCTCTCATGCCAAACATACTAAGCCAATCGTCCAACAAAATCAACTCCTCTGCCATTTCCAACCACAACAAATCAACAACACTTCCTCAGAGGTTATGGTGGTTTTGAGGTCACACAAGATTTATTTATGTAAAAGGGTGATCGTATGAATGCAGAGTCAACGGTTACGAAAGGATATATTCTTCGTAAATATTTTTATATTCTAGTTTTTAAATTTGAATTAAAAACACATATTTTATTTAATCCGTTTTTAAAAATTCAAAAACTACATATTATCCTTTTAATCTTCTTAGTTTTTAAGAAATTTGGTTTTGATCTGTAAATATAAGAAATTTGATTGAATAAGATAATTTTTAAGATTTAGGAATTATGATATAAAATTGTTTTCAATTCAATAAATTTAGTATCCAGAGAGTAAAATAATATTTTTTTAAAATAGGAGAGTAAAATCAAATAATTTCCAAAATTTAACGATTGAAAACATAATTAAACTAGTTTAAAATATGTAAAAAACTAACAGATTACAATTGTTTCGGTGATTATATTAACTATATTTAAAATTTCACTTTCATAACATGTAATACATTTAATAATAAGATTTAATTTATCAAAGTAAAAGTCATACCTATGAATAGTTGGTACGTAAGTTTTCTCGTTTTTTAAATTAAAATAAACTATATACAAATTAATCAATTTAATTATCTGTTAGGAAATAAAAAAAATAAGTCTAAATCTTAAATTGAATAAAAATAAAAAATTAAATAATATATAAAAAATATGATGCATAATTTAATATCTTAATATTTTTATTGAAGATGTTGTTACATTTTCTTGTACCTTATTCCATTATAAGAATATCCTGTTGTAGCTTTTAAAACACCCAACATGATTATCTCTTGTAAAATCAATTTCCATAATATCATATAAAAAGAATAGATTTTGTTGCTACGTAGAAGTAAAAAGACAAGTGATTTCGAAAAAGAAAATATTTTGTTGCTATGTAGCAGTAAAAAGACAAGTGGTTTCGACAAAATAGTTTTTATATATTAAAATAGAATCATATAAAAAGAGTAGATTTTGTTGCTATGTAGTACTAAAAAGACAAGTGGTTTCGAGAAAATAGTTTTTTATATATTAAAGTAGAAATATTAATTCAGATTGATGGGCTTGGATAATATAATTTATTATACAAGAGTAGTATTTAAGAGGAAGCACAAGAACTCATCTGTTATCAATTTGGTTTGGATCTAAAGATTTGCATAGAAATGAGAAAATCAAATAATAATCCGTAGCTCTTGTTTATTTGTACAGATTTACTCTTAATAAGGAAATGAGGGTGCAATTTGTGTTGATTGATTGATCCTATTTGCATATTACAATGAGATTCATCCAATTCATGTAACCTTCTAAATTCTCATATAACCTTCTAATTTCTAAAAAAATGCTGAAAAAAATAAATAAAATAAAAGACATCAAGTAAAGTCATTTATGTTCTTATAAATTAATTAATCAAAGGATACATAATAAATTATATGATATATACTAATTTAGTGATTTTTTTATTAATTTTTTCTAAAACAATATTAACTAATAATATTTTTTATAAATTATGCTTATTTTTGAAGTTAATATTGTGTTAAGATAATAAATAAGATTAATAATTTATTTATATTATATTTTTTAAAATAGCTTTTATACTGTTATTTTTTAAATTATATTTATATTATAATTTTTGTAAAATAAATGGAATATTATAATTATATTATAAAATAATTTATATAATTTAATATTTTAAATAATAATGTTTATAATAATAAATATATAAATAATAATAATACTAATAAATTATATCATACTAATAAATAATATATATATATATATAAAAGTTCATATTTTACTTTTTTATTAATGTATAATATTGTTTTTCATTATATTTTACTTTTAGTTATTTATATTCAGTTTTATTTATATTTAATTTTTATTTTGAATAGAAAATTATGTTAATTATTTTATATATGTATATATAACCGTGTAATTATGTTTTGAATATAGTTTTATAAATAAAACACCGTAATCATAAAATTTTGAAGAGATGTAATCGATTAAATTAATTTGTATAATCATTTATATATTATAAGTAATCGATTATATTAAAGAAATTATTATATTTATTATATATAAAATAATGTTGATAATATATGTAATTATAGTTATATATGATTTTATAAATTTTTATTATAATAAAAATAATATTATATTTAAATATAAATTTAATTTTTTAACATGTAAATGATTTTATTTTTTATTATGAATTATTTTATTATATTTTAATTTTTTAATTAGTACTTGTAATAAAAATTTATATAATTTGTAATTAATAATTAATAATTATTAGTAATTTTAAAACTTTAAAATAATTATAAATTATTTTTTATTTTTTATATAAAATAGTTTTAATAAATATGATAATATAAATTAATTAAATTAAATTAAATTATATCACAATTCTAATTTATATTTATTTTATCTCTTATCAATACAAAGTTATTATATATTTTAAATTATTATTTTAATTATTTTATTCAATTATATCAATCACATTTTCTATTATCTTTTCACTTATTTATCTTATTTTTTTACTTTCTTTCCCTCGTTCTACTTTTCACTTTCTTTCTCTTCCTTTCTCCTCGTTCAATCCACTCCCAAATCCAAATATAACAATTTTGAATTTTTTGAATGTGCAATATTTTGAATAAAAATTAGAAAAAACATTTAATAATATATACTTATTAAACCCCAATCTTAAATGTTTGATAAAAAACCTAAAATTATTTATGGGAATTTATTTTATGTAGTTACCTAATTATTATTATTTAAAGTTGGATTAATTTTATCAAAAAGAGAAAGGAAAATCTCTATTAGTGAAGCCACAAGTTCAAAAAAAATCATAATTGTAATTATAAAGATTACTGTTTGGTAAAAAAAAGTATACATTTAAATTTCGTAAATATTCTATGTAATGTTATATTGAATTTTGATGACAGAACCTATTAACCGAGAGACAAATATTATATATTTTCCAATTTTAAAAATCCATACTTTTAAATTATTATTTTTGAATAACTTTTTAAATAATATTAAAATATAGATAAGTAAGAAATAAAATTAATTTCTTGATGATTTTTAACTATTCTCTTTCATCAATTATTTATTTTTAATAGTATTTCATGATTTCCAAATTTTTAAATTATTTTAGTCAAAGTTAGAAAGAAAGTATCTAAAACACAGGCCTATATTAAACACACAAATCTTAAATAACCTCATTGACCAATTAAATATATTTTATTTATAGGCATATTTATTTAAGTAATTATATTAATTATTTAAAGCTGGATAGATTTGACCAATTTAACATATTCCACTTATTAGTAAAAAAGAAACTACACATTTAATTTAAATATTCTAAATATTTCGCGCAATGTTATATATTGACATTTAATAACAATAGTTATTAGTAACACACTCACACACAAAATCTTCCAATTCTTCTATTTTTACAACAAAAACAATTATTTGTGCTTTTAATTTGCAAACCTAATATCATTTTTTTCAAAGCTTATGAAAACTTGAATTACTTTACATTTCATGTAAAACAAAAATACTTTTTTTTTTTTTTTAAGTTTGACATCATACAAATAAACTTTCATAAACAAAATCTAAATCATTTGATAACTTAACATCATATATTTCAAACCCATGCTTTTTCATTCTTTCTCTTGAACCTCATCATGTGCAGCACCCTCTTTCTCATCAGATCTGCAGAAGTGGAAAAAAGGCATATTATAAACTCCAAAGCAATTAATTAAAACCAAAAATAAGGAAAATGAATATGACAACATAATAAAACAATACCTTGACTGAACTGGTTCAGAAGAAGTAGCAGCAACATCCTACAAGAAATTCACATTGTGCAGAGAACAAGGTTGAGATTGAGATGAACCAATATTTAACAACTAAACCAAATGTAGCAAAAAACAAGTAGCAATGTTATGATATGAAAGACAAAAAGAAATCTTACAAGACCAGTGTTTGAAATTTGAGAGGTTGATGCACCAGTTTCATTATTTCGTTTTGATCCATGGTTTCCATGCCCAGTTGCTTGATTTGAGCATTGAGCAAGAATGGTGTTTACAAGTTCTAGTTCCCTTTCAACAGATTGGATTTGAGCGTTCAAAGTAAAGGCATGACCTAAGGCACCATGAATGGGATCATTATCCCACATGATAGCCTCTGTCAAAATGGAATCAGCCATAACTTGTCTTTCAGATGGTTCAGCAGAACGCATCAATCTAAGCAAGTTGGCCAACCCAAAAAGCCTGCAAGCTTTCTCAAAGTCCACTGACCTATTAATGGGAAAATACTGACCAAGTTCACATCTTCCATCGTGACGTGTATGTTGATACCTACACAAGACACATGCAACACTTCTGTGTTCTTCACTCATTTTTTTTGCCTAGACACGCAAATGCTTATGTTGATAAATATGAATATGATGATGAATATGATGATAAATATGAATATGAATGCTTGCTACGTACCAAGCTTTTTGAATGAGCCAATTTATACAAAAGAAGAAAGGTGAATAATCCTTAGTTTGATTCTTATGGTCAAACCCTATTTATTATTTATTTTAATATTTTCTATGTACATGAGAATACATTAAATAAAATTTTAGTTTCTTTCGTCCCAACTTAAAAAATACAAAGACTTTTTATGATATACGTGTGTTGGATTATTTAAATAATTATTTTTGCAAAGATATTGAAATGTCTATTTATGATTTTGGTGGAATTTAGAAATTATTATTTGTGCAATTGCAACTTTAGTATACAATTTATCTTTCAAAAAAAGTATGCAAAAACATCTTAAACTGAAATCATTTTAACATGTAACAGCAAGAAACTACGTAAAAAAAATTGTACTTAATATTTACCACCGTTATAAAATGAATGATTTTAGTTTCACTCTTTACTCAATAAGTTACCACCATTATTCCCTTGAATGCATGAATCTCAATGCACCCTGAAAGTAAAATGTTTCACTCATGGATACATGTGATTGAAATGAATTTATCATAATCATGCATTTGATAGCATTTGTGGGCAAGAACAGTTTAGTCATGAATCTGAAGCACAGAATAAGATAATTTTTTTTTTAGGATTTATGGTAAATTATATTGGAATAAAATATTTTAAAATTAACCAGTACTAACTAGGAATTCTAAAATTGTGAGGACGGATATCTCTGGGAAATTTACATACAAACATATAGAGATGGTGGTAAAAAAATTAAAATAAAATAACTCTTCGTATAATGAGTTATTTCCAGAGGAATTGTTTTTATAAATAATTAAATTTTATTTGTATAATATATTTTCAAAATATAATTTGACACTCTAATGTAGAGTCTTATTTAATAAATTAAAAGTAAAATAATTTCATAAGTGAATATATGGATTAGAGATATAAATAAATTACACTGATATAAGATAGGTTATCTTTTAATAACATATACATATAACTCTTTGTTGGAAAATATATGTTTACAATTTTTTTTAAATTATTTTTATCTTTCTATAAATAATTATAAAATAAATCATTATTATATATTTTAAATATTAATTTTTAATAATATTTTATTTTTATAATTATCTTCATAGGTATAATTTTTTAATAATAATCTTTTTATAATTATCATAATATATTACATATAACATAATTATATAATAACCATCGTATATAACATAATAATTATACACAAAATTATCATCCTATCTTTTTGTTAAACTTATTATTCATTCATTTTCATTTATTTCACATTATACTTCACTTTTCCTTTTTTTTTTCTTGTATCAATTTTGTTTATAACTCTCGTCTTCTCTTTTTGATTATAATGATTTTATTTTTCTCTTTCTCCTTTTTTTTTTTAAATGTTTGTCTCATCGCCAAGGTTTAAGGAAAATAATAATAAAAGACAATCTTTCAGCAAGATGGTGATTCATATTACCCTAAAAAGTTTTTATTTGATGAGGAAAAAAAACTAGTTGAATAATATTTTGTTGGATGCTCTAAAGTTGAGTTATAATAGCTTTAAAAAGAAAATAATAAAAATTTATAGATTTATTATTACAGAGCAACGCCCATATAATATTACAAATTTTGTAGTGATGAAATAAAACAATGGTTAAAGAAATCTTCAAAGTTTATTGTCACGAAACAAATTAAGAGTTTTGGCAATGATAAAAACAAGGTTAAATTAATTTTATAATATTCGATTGAATTAATGATTTCTTAATTTTTTAATATAATATTAGATTTAGTTTTACCGAGATTGAAAAATAACTAAATTTGTATTTAATTTGGTTTGTATATAAAAGAATTTTGTGTTCAAAAGCTTTTGGATTTATTACTTTTCTTGGGTCAAGCTTTTAAACAATGTAAAATAAGAAACAATAGTGAATATTAAAGTACAATTAATCGTTTTTTAAATTTTATAAGAACGAAAAAGTATAGTAGGTACTATAAAAACATTTATGTTCTCTAAGTTTTGCAATCCAATTTGTTTAACATAACAAATGACCTTTTACATTTTTATGTTACTCCTAATATGTGCACAAATGTCACAACACTTTTAAACTTTAAAACGCTTCCTAAGTTAGTCCGTGATTTTACAAACAATACAAACATTTAAAAAAATAAAAATAAAAAAATTAGAAGATGCAAGAAGATATCATCCACATTCCAAATTTTATAAAATAATAAAACCTTGAATTTTTTTTTTCAATAATTTTGCCCACCAATAAAATTTCTATACTTTGGTACCCATTTAAAAAATAAAACTAAAATTCTAAGAAGATCACTAAGAGTATTTCTAACCAGTTAGTTATCAAGACTTATTTATAAATAAAATTAAATATTTTATTACGAGTATCACCTCATAATTAATTAAAAATGGGAAAAATTATTTAAAATTAGAAAAAAATTACTTGAACAAATAAATCTGACCAAGTTTTAAATAATTTAATTGTAAGATTCATAATAAAATATTCAATTTTATTTTTAAACAGTTTTTGTTAAAATCTTAGTGTAAAGATGATCAAACACCTATATCATCAACGGTCTAATATTAATAGTCGAACTCGTGATAATTCTTCATTTTTCATATTTTTCAAATAATATTCCTTGTTTATAGTTGAGATATGAGAGTGGTTAAAATTGATTATAGAAAAGAAATGTACTTATATCTCTGTTAGAAAACTTATTGAAGAATTGCGTTCAAATAAAAACATAAATTTGGAAGCAACATCTTGATACTAGATTGCAAACATCATAAGTAAAAAGTATTATGGTTGTAATTGTAAATGTGAGATATGGACAAGGAAAATAAGATTTGTATATTAAATGATTGTTAGTGATGGAAAAATGTTTATTGTAGATTATTAATGACAAGCAACACAATAGACTTAACCAATTTTATTAGAATTGATTCAGGATACAATTTGAGAAAGTAAACCTAAAGTCTAATTCAACATCACAAATCAGATTTATAAGCAAAACCCAAAATCAATGAGCACAGTATATCTTATGTTCAGGTCTGAGTAGATTTTATACCATCATCTTATGCTCAGGTCTGTGAGTAAACTCAAAATCAATGTGCACAAAGGCTCTTTCAACTTCAGGAAGTTGCTCCAATTTCTCCTGCAATGTCTCACCTATGTTGTGTGCTTGGTTGAGAGGCATGTCTTCCGGCAACACGATATCTACTTCAACAAAGTAATGAGCACCAAAGGTGTATGCTCTCACAGTGTCTATGTGCTTAACCTCTTCATGGTGATTCCATATCAGATATGTCAACTTTGCTAGAAAATCAGGTGGTGCTGTTCTTCCAATCAGAGACCACACATTCTCAATCACTGTCTTGGCCCATGTGTTAATAGTGTAAACTGCTATCTGCATTGGATATTCAGGATACCATAGTCAGATAATCAATCATGAGTTGGTTTGTTTTATATAAACCAACAAAATAGTTATGCAACACAAGATTCAAGAACAACCCTTGCAATAATTTGAAGGCATAACTTATTGGTATAAACATGGCATGTCATGTAAAGCAGGTACAATATGTAAACTCTGAGACGCCAATACTTGAAGAAAAAATGAAGAAGCATGTAGTGGTTGGTATGTATATGAACTCACAATAATTGCTCCCATTGGATCAATCCACCAAGAGTACTTCACAGCAAGCACAGAAGCAACTAAACCAACTGAATTGGTAATAACATCAAAAAAATGATCTTGTGCATAAGCTCTGATAATTTCGTTCTTAAACCTTCGACAGTAGACCATGAGTATGAACTTCACTACAGTAACAGATGCCATAATCCCAATCATCCATTTCAACTCACGGGGATTCATTTCAGGCTTAGACTATAACATAAAGAATGAAACAAGAAATTAAAAAATAGGTAGAGTGATAACAGAATCTATAAAGCAGAATACTCAACACATCACATAAATGAGTGATGAACAAAAGGAGTTCATCACATGCAAAACACGAACCAAATAGTGAATTTCTGATAGCTATTACCTTCGTAATAAGTTGTCTGCCAGACTCAATCAAAATCTGCAACCCCAAGGTTGCCATCACGGATGCAAAAACAATGATACCCTGCAAAATGCAATGATTCTTTTGAAATATAGAACCAGATTTATAAATATTTTGAAGTAATGAAATGATATTTTATCCTTAGCTTACCACTGGTTGCATCCTTTTCTTTCCAATGGGGTAGTGATACTGGTTTGGGTTTCTCATGGCATAGGCAGTGAACCACAATATGAACCCAGACAAGAGATCCAAGAGAGAATCCATGGTGGAAGCAATGACTGCTAATGATCTGCTCTCAATGGAAGTATAAACCTTTGCTGCAAATAGCACCAAGTTAGCTGCATTTGACACATTAACTGCCATTCTCTCACTTCTTGCTAATTGCTTCAGTTCATCCTGACAAACATAGTAATCAATAATTTGAAAATCACTCTTCAGAAGTTTAAAGAGACAGCAACATTTTATTAATTATGATATCAAATCAGCAACATATCTATGAAATACATATGATAAGTGAATTGTGGAGATACAATAATGAACCTGTGTTAGACTTCCAGGGAAATAACCCGTTGCAGTCATCGCATCCATGTCATTATACCCTTCAAGGAGCCTCTCCTGTTTCTTGTAGTATTCTGCAACCTTGCTTTGCTTTTCTGAAACAAGGTTCAATTGTAGAGCCATTAACATTTTTTTTCCAATGGTTCAAAATAAATGTTTTTAATAAAATTGTTGGTTCACATAAAACTAAAGTTCAGATGTAAAAAAAAGGAAGTTTTGGATTTCAATCTTATAAATGAAAATAATCACATGATTAGAAGTGACTAATCAAGTTCAACCACAAATCTTAATTATTGATAAAAATTGGTAAATATTCTTCACATCCAAACTTTGCACTTCATGGTTTTTTTTCAAGGAGAATTTTGATATTGTAATTTTTTACAAGAATAATTAATTAACACATCAATAATGTGCCAAAAATTTCATACGAAATAAATTTATATATACGATATATGAAATTTATGATGATACTAAATGATTAAGTTAAAGCGTCTTCAACAAATGTTGAAGAGTTACTTGACATCTAAATAATAATCTCGTCTTAATCTTCATATCAAAATGGGTCAGAAATTAACGTGATTTCAAAAGGTGGAAATCTCATTATCTCAATAATCTCGTGCATAATTATAAAGTGTTATCTGTTTAATATTTTATATATATATAATATCATAATCCTAATATTGAACTCTATTATAACTGGACTCAAACGAATTATCTCAATAAAAAAAGTTAGGATTTTGTTTATTACCAAAATCAGTATCTTAATATTTTAAGCTAGAACAATATAAAATAAAAAAATCTCACAAAAATATGATATAATTATAATAAATTCATACACGTATCCGTTGTATATCCTCTTACCCGTAGGAATAACTTTAGAACAAACTTTTTCAAAAAGAAAAAGAAAGAAAGGAAACTAACCCCACCAATACAATCATAAAACAAGAAAAGAGAAGATAATAAAAAGAAAAGTTTTGCTTATATATGCTAAGATTCCTTTCATCACTACAAATAATTCAACAAAATTAAACCCACCCATTATTCAAGGAGTGATATTTGGACAATCCTTTATCTACCAAACATTCAATATATGACCTAATTTAATAATATAACAATAATAAACATAAAAAATTAAATATTTATTATTATTATTATTATTATTATTATTATTATATTAAAAACAATTGTTAGAAAGATGTTTATTAGGGAGTAAAAAAAATATTATGACCGTACTGTCTTATTTTCATTTTATCTTTTGTTTTAAAGAAAAACTATTCATAACTTTAAGTTTAAAATTAAGCTATGAATAAAAAATGTTTATAATTAAGCTTTTTTAAACTATAAATTCCATTTTATAATCTTATATTAATTAGTTCAAAAGAGAGTTGATAAAGGAAGGTTAAGATATGCACATTATATTTAATAATAACTTTAATTAGTATTAAATTACATTTTTTTATTTATTTTATAAAAGTTAATTTTTTAAAATAATAACTTTCAGTGTCATTAAACTGTCAATAAGATCTCGGATTCTAAGTTTATAAATGAAAAAAAAAAATCACTAAAAGTAATAAATTAAGTTTTCAACGGAAAATTATTCATCTACAAATTGAAAACACCAAACTAGGGAGAGAAAAAAATCTCACTGGGTTTTCGAAGAAGACCACGAAAAGTGAAGCAACTAGGGTTATTATGATGATGATGATGATGATGACTTTGGCGTGGCAACTGAAACTCCTTCACATTCAGTCTCCACGACAATGATGACAAGTCTCCGGAGGCATCCTCCACCAGAACGTGTTCTCCTCCGCCGGTCTCAGCGGTGGCGCCGCCATATCTCCTCCCACTCTCCGACATATCATATATTGTATGTACAGTAAGTAACAAGCTTTTCTTAGGGGTGGGGGAATATATATATTATGTGCATTGCTTTTAGAAGGGTTCAAGTGGGGCACACACATAGCACCATTTTCTGGATTTTAGGGTTTGGACAGAAACATTTTGCTGAAAAAGACGTAGGATAGCATGATAGAATGTGCACTACAACTGTGTACGATACAAATACGTAAACCATGATAATTGGGTCATCTTTCGTGTGTTGAATTAAAGGTTAAAGAATAGTAAGAAAATTAAAATTTTTAAAATATGTTATTTGTCTTAATGATGTAGATAAAAAGTGAAGAGGTGTATTGAAAGAGGATGTAAACGAATCTTATTTTTTAAAAAGATCATTATCGTAATACGGATGAAAAGTATGACACTTTGCATAAAAAACCTAATTCATTTTTTTTTTTCATGAAAAACCCTAGTTCTAACATACCTAAATTAACTTGAGATAATGCTGAACGATATGATATTGATACTCCAATGAGGTATGATCCCCCAATTAATTTGGGTTAATGTGAATGGATAAGATTCAATAGTTTTAATTATGATTGTTGATGAAAAATATAAAGTTAGTGGTGGCATAATGCAAGATAGTGGAACGGTGAATGGGAGTTGTAAGAGAGAGCAATGTCTCTCTTAAAGCCATAAAACATCTCCACTAACCCTAAAGTGTGTTAAATTTTGTGTACAAAAACTCATTAAAAAAAAAAAAAATATATATATATATATATATATATATATATATATATATATATATATAACCATTACAAATATTTATTTAAATAAGTTTTTAAAATATTTAAGATTATATGAATTCTTAGTTTAAGACTTTATAAAAGTTTGGTATTTATGTGTGGCAGTATGAGAGGCAAAAGATTGTATTTAGTCCTAAAAATGAGATGTGTAATAATATATTGAGAACCGAATTTAAACAAATGTTTAACAACCCAACAAAAAAATTGAAAAAATAATTTTTTGATACCCATGTTCAAACATTCAAATGACAACTTAAGATTAAAATCTAATTTTATTAAAATTCTGGTTCTATTTGTAAATTTGAAGAGTGAGAGTTGTAATTTAGAGATAGGTAAGGATTGATCATGTGAATCTGCAAAGGTTTTAACTTTTGGAGCCAAATATATTCTCCTATTCTTTTAAATCTGTTCACCTTTTCCAAGTTGATAATAGTGTTTGCAGCTCATTACAAATATATGTAACCTTTTTTAATTTAAGTTCATAGTACAATTTATTTACTATGATAAGATTTCCTAGAAGTCTAACTCATGCATACAACTATTTCATAAACATCCAGAATTTCTCTCATTAAGAAACAATAAAAGCAATACAAATTCAATGATGTAACTCTGACTAACTACATATTATCATTAAACATTAACTAGTACACTTATTCATCTTCAACAATATATATTGTGTAATCTTGTAATGTCAATAATGAACAAAAACTAAAGGGAAATCATAAATATACGACACACTAACCCTAATCCTAAATCTAAATCAACAAAAATTAACCATAATCCTCAATTGACAAAACTAAACTTAGCAATTTTATTAATAAAACATAAACTTAAGGCAGAGACCACAACCACAATACAAAAACCTCTAGAGCAGTTAAGGCAATCACAACAACAAGGGAAGGGATTGTGCGATCGAGAGTAGTGAGAACGAGATGCTGCGAAAATGGTGTCAAGCACAAAATAGTTATTGTGCGGTTGAGAGTAGTGAGAACGAGATAAAGTGAAAATACGGTTAAGCGATTGAAAGTGATAAATAGTGACAACGAGACGAAGTTCAAATAGATGCTAAGAGATGATGAGTGAGAGTTGACGAAAAACTCTAAGAGAAGATGTAACAAGAGCTAGTGAATGAGAGATTGATCTGGGTATGTAGAGGAGAAGAATAAAAAGAGATAAAGAACATGAAGAAGTTATTATGTAATTTAATATTTGTTTTAAATAATGATATATTAACAACCAAGTTTAAACAACCATACAACAACTCAATGGAAAAATATTTTAAAATAATGTTGGGCAGTAAATATATGCTAAAACAAATATTAATAAGTATGTAGTACAAAATATTATGGTAAATTGATATTGATTGATTATTATGTTTTGTCTGAAATTCACGTCTAATAAGTATTAATATTTTGGTGTATTTGTTTAATTATAAATCAAATTACTCTATAAATCTGTTTGCCTTAATCAAATCAAATTATCTTAAATTAATTACGTACGAATATGTGTCTTTAACATGAACCTTTAACCATACTTCCAGTTTTTACCAACGCAACCCAACCCACTAACCCAACTCAGCCCATACTTTCTCCACCTAATATCAGAAGGCCCAAGAGTTTGATAATGGGCCTGCCATCCATAATCAAAGCACCAGGCCTGTTAGAATAATCAACAATCCCACTTTGCTAAAAAAACTATCTTTGACAATTTTGACTGAGGTGTCAATAATTGTCCTTGATTTCAAAACCCTTGAAGAAAAAAATTTTAAATTTTAAAAAAAGTGAATTTTCAAAATTTTAATTGTTTTATTAATATTTTAAAATTTAATTAATTACTGGTATTTACTTTCTTTGTTCGTGTTTTTTAAACTTTGAAGATCAATTGTATTTATAACGATTTATTTAAAATTTTCTTAATTTTGAAATATAATAACATTATTTTGATACACTTTATAGTTTAAAAATCGAAATAAATAATCATTTATTAAAATCTTTTTTCATTAACCTGCATTAATAAAAAATCAAACTTAAAATGGAACAATACATAAAATATGATGAGATGAACAATAATACCACGAGTAGTACATTTAATGAAAAGTAAAAGAAGAAAAAATGTAAAATTGAGGTGGCAACATGCGAGAATGCCAACACTTTGTTTTTGTTTTGCTTTCATGGCCATACTCAAAGCCACTCAAAATCAGGAACACAATGAAAGGCTAAAAATTTAGCTTCAGCGCCACACACATCACAGATGCAGAGAAGAAAACAACACAACTCTCTCTTTTCCTCTCCCAATCAAATGAAAGGCTAAAATCTTGGATACCCCCATTCAGCATTAAAGGCTATGGCTTTTCTTCTATCCAACCTCAAACCCTCTCTGCTACCCCAAACCAAATCAAAACCCATTTCCCAAACGCTTTCATCAGCAAAAGGAACCACTTCTCAGAGTACTTCCTTGTTTTTCACCTCATGTGGTACTCCGCTTTCCACCCTCCTAAGTTCCACTGCACAGGTTGCTCTGGGGAGCACACCAACAACAGGTGCTAAAGACGAGCATCAGCAGCAAAAGGATGAGTTTTATCTCAATCTTGGCGTGGCTGTGCGGACCCTCCGTGAGGACATGCCCTTGATCTTCGTCAAAGACCTTAATTATGACATTTACAGGTGATTTTCTCATCTGGGTATTTGAGTTTTCATCCTTGAAATGTGTGATTTTGTGTACATGTGTATGGTTTTATGTTAGATTTTCAGATGTTTCATACAGGGGGAAATGGGTTCTTTTAATGTTGAATTTGATCATTTCAGTCAATGAATTTTCTTCATCTTGTGTGATTTTGTACGACGGTGGTTAATTTTTTGTACCTTTAAGATGGCATTTAAGTTTCCATCTTTGAGATGCGTGTTTTTTTTTGTCATGTGTGAATGGTATTCTGTTAGATTTAAAACTTCCCCGCAGGGTAAAAATGGTTGTTTGATATTGAATTTGTTCACTTCAGTATTTCAATTTTCATCTGAGATGTGTTTTTGTCCGGTTTTCTGTGAGATTTAATATGTTTCTTATCGGGGGAAAGTTTTGTTAATGTTGAATCTGATAAATTTCAGTATTCGAATTTTCATCTTTGAGATGTGTGCTTTTGTGGAATGTGTCTGTGTGTGTGGTTTTCTGTTTGATTTAAGAGGTTTCAAAGAGGGGAGAAATCAGTTTCTTAAGGTTGAATTTAATTATTTCAGGGATGATATAACATTCAAAGACCCTTTGAATACATTTACTGGTATTGAAAAGTACAAATTGATCTTCTGGGCATTGAGGTTTCATGGTAAAATTTTGTTCCGTGAGATTGCACTGGACGTGTATAGAATATGGCAGCCTTCAGAGAATGTGATACTGATTAGGTGGAACCTGAGGGGTGTGCCTCGGGTTCCATGGGAGGCTAAAGGGGAATTTCAAGGCACTTCACGGTACAAATTGGACAGAAATGGGAAAATTTACGAACACAAAGTTGATAATTTAGCATTCAATTTTCCACAGACCCTCAAACCAGTTTCAGTTTTGGATTTGGTCACTGCCTGTCCTGCAAGTCCAAATCTAACATTTTCATGGGGACCTATGGATTCCAACTCTTCATGGATAGAGTTTTATGAATCTGTTAAAGATACATTGGATCAAGAAGAGGGGTTGCTGCCACAAGATTGCATGGCTACATGTTCATGGTGACAACTTAGTAAACTGTTCCATAGATGATATATATACACTATAGATTGTAACAGATTGGTTAGATATAATGAAATTTGGTGAATAGCATAAAATGGTTTTTCTCAAAGAACAGAGTGTATATAGATAGGGAGTGATGCAGAAGATTACAAGTTACCCATTCTGATGTTGGAGCAATGAATGTTCTTATGGCTGGTGAGTTTACACAGATGAGATAGATCTATATGCTATAATCAGAATTTTATCATATAGAATTATTTTGATTCTATTACATAATGAAATCTTCACATTTTTTTCTCATATATAATTGTTTAAATATATGAATTGCACATAATTAAACCCTTGTTAAGTTAGTTTTCTAACGTTACATTCCTGGTTTCTGAGTTTTCACCTAAAATAATACTAAGTATTAATTGAAGGTTTTAAAGGAAGTACTATTTATTTATTATGTATTTATTATTTTATCAAAATGATTTTTAGTAAACTGTAAGAAATAATTTAAAAAGTATTAAAGATATTTAATCATTTTATTATTTTTTGTTTGTAAAACAAAATCATTATTTGTATTATGATAACAAAAGTAAAATAAATTACAATAAATCAAAATTTAATTATAAATTTCGAAACAATATATTAAAATTAAGTTACAAGTGTCTAATTAAATTCTAAATATTAAAAGTAAATTGTTGAATAAAAAAAGTAAATAATGATATATTGAAATTAAAATAAGTTATATGTAATTAACTTATTTTTAAAAACAAATAATTAACTCATTGTCTTAATTTTAAAAATTATTTATTATTTTAGTTATTTCAATATTGTCATTAACTCTAAATTAGTTATAATATAACATTAATATTTTATATAAGGAACAAGTTTTCAAAATAAAAAAATCATGATAAAAGAGAATATTTATATACAAAATTAGAAATTAAAAGATACTGTGTTACTTTTACTCTATTAAATAATTTAATGAAATCAGTATGAATTTTTTTAATAAATTTTTTATTTTAATCCGAGAAAGTTGACTTTCACATTTCTCCATCGAAATATTTTGGTAGTAAACTTGATTAAAATTATTCTCAATAAACATTATTTTCTGAAATATTGTTTTTTTTACAAGATTTATAACAAATATGTTTTCCAACTTTAGATTCTCAGACAATATTTCTATGTAAAAAAATCTAGAATAACAAGATTTTTTATGTAAATCAAAATCAATAAATATCAGATTTAAATATATTTTAAAATATTTAAGACAAATAAAAATTAATTATGAATAATGAATCATTCCTATTTCTTTTTATATATTTTTGTATTCATTTTTTTGAATGGCGGAAGGGTATCAACGTAAAAGCACGTCAATTCAAAAGCTAAAGACATCGCGCGTGATCTTCTCCAAATTTCACTCTCCACGGCTACATTTTTCATTTTCACATTTCTTTTTTCTCTTTCTTTCTGCATCGAAGCTCGCGAACACTCCAAACCAATATCTCCATGGTTTCTCTCACGGTAAGGGGTTTAACTCTCCAATTTTTACTATTCCAATTACCTTTCAATTGTTTCACAACGAAGTGTATCCTGGATTTTCAATTTCTCACTGCTATCATTCTTCAAGAGGTTTTCTTCTTTGATTCTATCTTTAATCCCTAATCCGGAATACATTCTCGTTTTGTTATTGCATGCTTCAGGGAAAATCCAGAGTGGGCTCAACTCGTGCCTCTGTGGTCGGTGGTGCCCAATCTCGCCCAAGCGGTATATTTTACAAATTTATGTATTTGTTTGTTTGTTTTTTCTTTTTCTGTGTTTTTTTTTGTTATTCGAAATGTTGTCGTTTTTGGTGATTTAGTTATATGTATATTGAGCAGTGGGTGGTAGGAATTTCAAGGTGTTTTCGGAAAATGACAGGACTAAAGTTGGTGATGGAAAGACGTGAGTATTTTTTTTATTTTTTATTTTTTGTGATTGAGGAATTTATAGTAAATATGGATATGTGTATATATATATATATATATATATATATATATTGTAGAACTAACTTTGATAGTTTCTTTAGGACTTCTACAAGAGGAACAGTTGCAAATTCAAGGTACGGTACTTAAGTTGACTTCAAATGATGTGGTTTCTGCTCCACGGGTTGTTTCTAGATGCTGGAATCATAAACAACTCTTGAAATCTAATGCTGTCAAGATGCTTTCGATTAATTGTTTGCTTTTCCGAGATATCTGTTAGATAGGGAAGCCCTCTACTTGTGAAAGGGGTTTTAGATTGCTGGGCTTTGAGAACTAAACTTGTTTTAGCTGCTTCATGTGGTTTAAAGTGGATGGGCTTGTCCGAAGACTGTATGTTTTATACAATTCATATGAAGTCTGTAGCTGCTGTCTTGTTTTGTGTTTTTATGTCATTATCTGAAGCAGTTGTTTTTGTGAAACCATGACAACCTGTGGCAGAATGATATTCATTTCCTGTAGATGTTCCTATATACCTGAAATATATAAAAGCATTGTAGTGATCCATTTATATGTTCTCGCTCCTCCTTTGCAATTTATGCAGAAGGAGTACTGTGATAGCTAGTAAAGGGGTTATTCTTAATACTACCAGTAATCCAAAGGTAATCAACATTTTGAACTTCTAATACTTTTTTAATGCTCTAAACATCTCTAATACTTGAAAAAATGTCTATACATTTTGTATTCTTGGGTCTGTCCTTGGTTATACTCTATATGTCTAACTATTATGCAACTTTAATGAAGGGTGGTCTGAAAAATAGTATGGATAAAAGTAGTGGCAAATATGGTACTTCTGGTAAGTATTAACCGAACTCATTTTTTCGTTAAAATTATGTGACATAACACACTTCTCATTACAACTTATTCTGGCTTCTAATAGAAAATACAGCTGCGAGAAAGGCATTGGTTGATGTCAGCAATGTTCAAGAAAATTTCACAACAACTGTTGGGCATGCTAATTCAAAAATGAAGTAAGAATCTTATTTTTGGTGGATGGAAAACGATTTAGAAGGGAGGTGGTAGTATTTCACTGTTTAAACAGAATTTTTGCAACTTTTGGATATTTATCTAGTACAGTTATATAAAAAAATTCATATATATTTTTCTCATGTATCAGCTGATATTGAGACCAACTATTAATGTCATTTTTTTGTGATATGTTTTGTTTTGGATATTCTGATAAACATTTTCACCTTTGATTTTATTAGAATATCTAGAAACTTTTTCATTATATTTTTACTGATCTTAGAGTGTATTAAATATCTCTTAGGAGTGGTCATGGTTTTCAATTTCATATCTCATGGGTTTTTCACTTATTTAATTAGGATTTAGAGTCTAGTTTTTGTAGAAATAGGGGTCTATGTAAGTATTTTGTCTCACGTCGTCTCACGTCAAGAGTCAACCTTTCTCGTCCATGATGGGAACACGTTTGCCCTAGTTATCTGGTTATTATTATTTATTTATTTTCATTCTTTTTCTTTTCAACTAAACATCTTTTATTTCCATCCTATTTTTCACCTATTTCTCTACTATTTTCTCACTTTCATACCTCCTCTTCCATTTCTTTTCTCTATATGAAACACGACTTGTCTTGAAATCACATAAATCATGTTAAGTTTAGATTATTAATCAATTTATACTGTCTTTCCTTCAGTCTATATCCTATAATTTCAAAAACCCTTAAGCTGATGGGTAAAAATCGCATGAATGATGTTATAATTAAGTAGTTTAACATGCCTTCTCTCACAAGAGACCTTTGTTCTTGATACGTTGACAATGTACAGAGATCCTCCATATCAGATTGAAACTTAACATATAGACAATATGGCTGTCAAGATGTCGATACTAGACAGAAACAGCTCTTCCAGATGCTTATGCAATTGGCTGTCAACACATGAATTATTTCATATTTAACAGCTTTCATTTTTTTTTGTTACATGGACCATTGACACTAGAAGAAAATTCAATCTGTAAACTCTTCACGTAACAGAAATTGATCTTGGGATGGTGCTACACGTAATAGAATTTGATCTTGTGATAAGTCTTTTCCCAAGCAGAGATTGATACAATGTTCTCTACAATTGTTCGAATGCGACAGTACATTAATTCAGTCTTTATTTCCTCTAATGCTTGCCTCATTATTTGACTTTGTATGTCTTATGTGCCTTTCTAGGGTTTCGGCAGGTTCAAGTACCAAAATAGTGGGTGTATCTTTGAGGAAGTCCATCACGGTATGTTAACCACTTAACTAATTATTCTAATTTTCCGTTAAGCCCGTGCTTTTATTTATACTTGATTAGTTCTTTATTTAAAGGAGTGCTCCTTTTACTGGAGTTAGTTAAAAACTAATTATTCTAGTTTTGTGTTTAAACCCATGCTTTTTTTTTTACTTGATCAGTTTTTTATGTAAAGGAATACTCCTTTTATTGGTGTTACTTAAAAACTAAATACATCAAACTGGCCCAATAATTGAAACTTTGCTTATGTAATCTGCGAAGTGACTTGTATAAACGCATAATCAGTTCTTCATGTAAAGAAGTACTCCTTTTACTTGTTTTTTAGTTAAAGACTCGATATTCCAATATGACCCAATGATTATCCTTATATTAAACAAGAGAAACCTTATATCATTTTCTACCATTCGGCAGTACCTTTTTTTAACTTTCTGAGATGGTCATGGTAAAAGGGAAGCATTTATAAAATGTAAAATGTTAACAATATAAACTTCTTTGGTTCTATACAATTATGAAGCTCTGATCACCTTTCTTGTTTAAATTAGGGAAGAGTGCAAAGAAATACAAGTAAAGGTGATGCTCAATTGGATGCTCAAAATAGAGGTGACTATTTCGTTCTCTTAAATATTTTTATTATATATCTGTATGTATGTTTAGAATATCATTTAGATGTTTTTCTCCCATTACCTTTAGATGATCAGAAGAATAATACAAAAGGAGGCCAATCAATTTTTTCGACAAAGGACAGGTACTTAGGATACTTCCTTCTGTTTATCTCACATTTAATAGGATATGTAAGTTATTAATGGTTACGTTTTATGCTTCCAAGCACTTCATTACAGAAATTATATTGCCTCTTTTTTAATATTTTGTAGATTTACATGGAAGCCTACAGCTACAAGGTTTCTTAATATTTCATTTTGTTGATTCAAGTAAGTTTTATTTATGAATAACGTGAACTGAAACCACTATATTCATTGTCTCTTCCAAGCACTTCAAGGAAATCTTTACCTGTACCGCGGAGGGTAATCAGAGAAGATACGAGTAAAACAAAGGTAATATAATTTTGTTATTTTTTGTCTGTTCTGGTGATTGACAGTTGTGCTTATTCAGATTGCCATATGTTTTTCATTATGGCTCTCTCTCTCTCTCTCTCTCTCTCATATATATATATATATATATATATATATATATATATATATATATATATATATATATTTCAAAATCTTATACTTCCACTTTACTTCCTTGCAGGAACATGTTAGAAGTTCTCAAAAAGAAAAAGGCCAAAGTGGTCTCCCTTGTAAGAAACTATGGCATATATAAGTACTTTGCAAATGTCAATGGACCGACATATGATATGTTAATTAAACTTAAAATGTTATTGATTTCAGCTAAGGCAACAACAAACAGAAGAGATAGTTCCCAACTGATTGATTCAAGAAGCCATCTATGGAAGAATCGAGTGAGTGATGGATTTGTTCTAACGTAAGTGATCATTAATCGAATCATTATCTTAGTTCCTGCTTCCTGTATTTTAATTATCCATTTCTGGTACATTTTTTCTGTTTTATTAGCTTCAAGTTGCAAAACTGGGGAATCTAGCTAGTAAGCCTATATAATTTTGAGGTGATGTGTTGAAAACTGATACTAATTGTTGCATCGACAGTCTGCATTCCGCCAAAGAAGGAGGCACTTGAAGGCTGTGATATTTATAACTACCTCTTTTTAATGTAATCCATATTCTACGATGCTAATGCATCCACAGTATTATATCTTATTTGAGATTTTTAAACATGTCAGGATATGTATCTGTCATATGTTTAAGCTGTTTGGTGAAGGAACATGAATGGTTGAGGAACATCAATTAAACAGTATTATTAAATCACAAAAATACTTACAATACTGCTGTATTTGCTGTCCTTAAGTCACAAACTCCTAAAGAGCCAACCTCTTTGTACAAATTAGAAGACAACACATGTATCTTTTTTATTCAAAAGAATATATAACTGCTCCTAATTGTCTGCCGTAAACTGTCACCATGAAAGCTAATATTGAACATTTTCCAATAATAAGTAACTGCTATAACTGCCCGCAATACTCTGTTCAGAAGTTTTTAACATGTCCCCTCAAGTAATAACAGTGATACAATGCACGGGCTCACCCTACTATGTCTATGTGCAGAGATTAGATTTTTCTCAAAGAATATAGGACAATAAAAATTGGACCTTATAGACCACAAGAAGACAGATGGATGATTTTATATCTGCAGAATCTACGAAATAGGAAATCACTACCATTATTTAGATTATAGCTGAGTGCCTGTTTGTGCTCATCATTAACAACTACTTTTTCTTGATAAAAGATTAATTATCAATTGATAGACGAGATTTGTAATTATTATTAATTATTAATTGCTCGTTTCATGCAATTCACCTATGATACAGGGTTCAACCTAATGTTTTACATGCATCCTCAAGGAAGTCTGCCAAGGTATGCTGGCTGTACTCTGTTGTCTGTAGTTTCTTTACTTGATTGATATGTGCAAGCAGTAGTTCTTTGGAATTTTATATCTGTGTTTATTTTTCATTTTATGTTGAATTTCTTTGTGATGCTTGTATAATTAATAAGACTGAACTGTATAATGTAGTGTGCTGAAGTAAAATTTATCTGCAAACCTTTTTGTATACATGTATATGATATGATTGATATATGCACTGATGTTCATGCTCTAAAGATTATGCTTGCCTCATTTAATGACATAAGGAACTGTCTTTGTCAGTCAATAATTTCCACTATTGTGATTTTGTTTCTCAATTTTGCGAGAACTAATTGAAGATTTGGTGTTGGTGTGTGAACCTGAGTTTTTTTATCTTCTTCGTAACAGCCAATTATTAACACCATACTACTCAAGGCTTCCACTGCTCAAAGGACTTTAAAATCTAAATCCATACCAGCTCAGAGCAAATTAAAATCAACTATTGCAACGTCATCTCAGAACAAACCCCTATCAGCTAAGGAGAAATTAGAATCAACTACTGCAACCTTATCTCAGGAAAAAGAAACAGTTTCTTTGTCTCTTCCTTCGAATGGTTCGACAGTTTCTGATGATGCAAATCAAAGACATCTTCCATCTGGAGAGAGCGATCTAAGTACAGATTTATCAGAGTTTATTCCAAGGAAAAAATCCAGCCGCCGGAAATCGTATACAACTTCATTAATTGAAGGATCTAAGGTTTTGATGCTTAATGTGTGAAACTACTATTTTTTTTTAGTTTCCGTAAATATAAATGACAAGTAGCGCCTTATTTTGCAGTTTCTTAAGGAAAGTGAAGTTAGAGAGCAGGATAACCTACCCAATATAGATAATGAAAGCAATCAATTTGAAGTTTCTGAATACATTGATGACATATATCAGTACTATTGGATTACTGAGGTAATACTCATCATGCCTATGATATCAGCCCTTTTTTATGTTTTCCGCTTTGTTACTCATTCATTACCCTAGAGATATACTTTTTTTTTTATTTTTCTAATTGAGTAAATTTCTTCTTTGGTGACATTAGATGTATGTGAGAGGTGATAATAGAACATGAATGGTTGGGAGGTTGATACTTGTAACACAACCATGAGAGGTTGATGTGTCGTCCATTGTTGAGCTAACAATCTTTCTCCAAGTGCTCTCATGTCACAATTGTAGTGTTTGATCTACCACGATTTTTAACTTCCTCTAGAACTGCGATTCGTTGATCTCCTCTCATCATCAGTAGAGTCTCTGCATCTGTTGAACTTTCCAACCTATCTCCTTACTTTTTTCCCTTGATTCTTCTTCAAGGATAGCTTCAACTGCATCATGTTTATGATTCAGCTATTTTTACGAGTTTTCACTTTGTTACTCATTATAGTTGAGTAAATTTCTGCTCTTACGAACATGCTTGTCTCTTTCTTTCTATTTCCCTCCCATTCTACTGTAGGCTTTAACAGCTAGCGACACCAATTTTGGAATTAGTAAATAATTTTCTACAACAAACATTTTTAGATCTGTAAGCTTTCAAGGACTATGCTGTTTGGAGTAAAATCCCATGTCGGATATAATTAGTAATGACCTAGTGATGTACCCACCAAGGCTAATATATCGAAGCTTTGGTGGAACCCTTTTAAATCATCCCAAATTCTTCCTATAATATTTGTTTACTTAGAGAATAATTAGAGAGAAAAAATGATTTCTCTATCGAGGTTCTTTTGTTCATTTTTTCTCATTTCTTATTTTGGCTGCCGAGTTATTATTTTTTACACTAATGGTACCCAACATATGCATCTCCCAAAGTTGAATGTATTGCCGATACTTGACGACGTTGCAACAACTATCATAATCAGCAGCATTTCCAATGCGCACATTGATATTCAACACAATCAATGTACTCAGTTTTTTATGATTACTCTTCTTCCCATATGCTTGGATAAATTATTGCATTAACAGAAAAAATTTATACAACCCTTTTCAACTTCTGTCATTTTCAAATGACATTATTTAACTGATTTTGTCACTTCCTTTTTTGGTGTAATCATGATACCACTGGCTTTCTCATCTATACAAATTTATATTTTACATTTTATCTATATTCTATAGTATTAAGTAACGTTTTTATCTATTTAAAATTTGCTTTCAACTGCAGGCACGTAATCCAGCTCTAGCAAATTACATGTCAATTCAGACAGACATTACACCTCAATTGCGGGGCATTTTGATCAACTGGCTAATTGAAGTAAATAAAGGATTTCAATCATCCTTCAGATGACTTTTCTTTCATCATGTCGTTTCCTTTTTCTATACTGATGACTTATCATAGTTATTTTCTTTTCCTATCATTACTATCTATTGTAGGTGCACTTCAAATTTGAATTGATGCCAGAAACACTGTATCTCACCGTTACTTTGTTGGATCAATATCTCTCCCTAGTGACTATCGAAAAGACTGATATGCAGTTAGTTGGTCTTACAGCACTTTTGCTGGCTTCGAAGTATGAGGACTTTTGGCATCCTAGAGTAAGAAGAGACATTTTTAAGCTTATACTTTTGAATAAAAGATGGCATGCTTGATCTTGATCATATTTTTGTTGTTGTTTCATTTGTTCCAGGTTAAAGATTTAATTAGCATCTCTGCTGGGTATACGAGAGATCAAATGCTTGGAATGGTAGGCAGTACTTCTTACGCTTTTCTTCTTGCACTTCTCCCTTTCATCTCCATGTTTAAGAGTGATCTCGAATTTGATATATTTCATGGCATATGATGAATGACTTGCAAGTTCATAAATTATACAAATTGGTGAAAATTTTTCAGTCAGATAATACGGATTGATAACAATTTTTTCCGTCGAAAAATGTAAATGAGGAAGTTTTCATGGGCCAATTGATAAATTTTCCCTTCGTTCAATTACTTGTAGTTTTATTCTAATTTGTTTTATGCTTCCTATGTGCAGGAAAAACTTATTCTTAGAAAATTAAATTTCCGTCTCAACACTCCTACTCATTATGTTTTCTTGGTGCGGTTTCTGAAGGCTGGACGATCAAATAAAAAGGTATGTAACGCAGCATGGATGGTGGTACTACATTACTTGCAGACTCTTGATGTAAGAAATTAGTTTATCAAATTGATATTGCTTCTAGGCATTATGGGTAAACAATCAATTCGTATATGAGAAATCAGTCTTTCCAATTGACTGTTCTTAGCAGGAGGACATTAAGTTTGATTTCTAACGTCTTGTCTTCAATTTATTGTTTCCAGATTGAACACATGGCTTTCTTTCTGGTTGACCTATGCTTAGTTGAATATGAAGCTTTAGCATTCAAACCTTCATTACTTTGTGCCTCTGCTCTCTATGTTGCACGTTGTACTTTGCGAATAACTCCACCATGGACCCCATTACTTCAAAAGCATGCGCGTTATGAAGTTTCACACCTCAGGCACTTATTCTAACTTTTACTTTGTCACTTTTAAAGTTTAGGGTGATTTCTATTTATGCTGACTCTAGCATTCACAGGGATTGTGCGGAAATGATACTGAAGTTCCACAAAACTGCTGGGGTTGGGAAGTTGACAGTTGCATATGACAAGTACTCTAGACAGGAACTCGGTAGGGTTGCAGCAATCAAACCGTTGGAAGTACTTCCCGTAATTTGAACTGTGCTTGGTATACCTATAAACTCTTGGCATATAAATATGCATTGAGGTAGGGTTGCATCAGTGAAACCATTGGATGTACATCCCCTGTGAATCGAACTGTGCTCTAGTTATACACCTGTTACATAATATTCATTAAGATAGTAATTGAATTCTAAAAAATCTCGAGGTTTTATTTTGGTCGAGGTTTTTTTCTTCAGGTTGGATGTGTTTCCAACCTTGGTTCTAAGTTGTAATGGGGTCTGTTTTAATTAGAAACAAACATGCAGTGATACATGTATTACGGTTAATGTTCCCTAAAGTCTATGTAATACCAGTTATCTTTAAGTTTAAAGAGACGTTCGCTCTTGAAAGTTGATGATGTATTTATAGGACTATTCACTATTTACATAAATTATTCTTCTTTGTTGAAAAATTATTCATTGACTTACTGTATGAAATAAAATTTAAATTTATTACATTATTATTGATTAAAAAAACCAAATTAACTACTTTTATTAATCTTAATGAATGATCGAATCCGACGTATTGATATTCTTGTGGATGATCGGTAAATACATCCGTGAAAAAGTATTAATGGATGTGATTATCGGTCAGATTTTTGAATAATTTTAGCAATTAAAAAAATATTAATAGAAATAAATGACAAATGAAATGAAAATATAATTTTAAATTTTGTATAATAAATATAAAATCAACATTATTGATTTTTACTATTAATATTATATATTTATTTTTATTAGTATAAAAGCAAAAGCTGTACAAAAGGAAAGAAACAAAAAAGCCGCATAATATATTAGGATGACTCAGTGGATTATGAATAAGTTTTTGTAGTTGAATATTATTTTTAAAAAGTGATTTTTTAATAAACTAGTTGCATGTATTCCTTTTATTTTTTTATGCGTTTATTTAAATAATAAATTATTTATCTTTTTAAATAAGTGTTTTTTCAAAATAATTATAAATTAGAAATGCATAATCATTTTAAATATATAAATATATATATATATATATATATATATATATATATATTATTCTTATTATGTTTAAAATGTTCATATACATAATTGTTCTTCTTAAAATCAATTATACATATGTTTAAAGAAAATTTTAATTAGAATAAGCACGAATTATTTTCCAACTTATATTAATATTTTAGAACATCAATAATGATAATTATAAATACCACATAAAATGTATTTCACTTGAAAATAACAAATAAATTTATTATATTAACATGTTATATTATAACATGAAAATATTACAATTTTTAATTAATTAAAAATAAAATTTCCCTAAATAACTATTTCATTGTATTCTAAAATACTTTTAAAATTTTAAAAATTATACAATCGTATTCTAGTATTCTATTTATCTATGAAAAATTTAATTTAATTATAATAACATTATTTTAATATTATATTATTTAGATAATTTTTTTACTTTTTTTATTTTTCACTCCTTGTTCTAAACAAAGCTAAGGAACGAGGTTTAAAGAAGTATGACAACATTTAAAAAAAAAATATTTTTAAAAGCCATTTCTACACACTGGCCGGCTGTTTCCAACCGCTATTAAGATGAAAATTTGAAAAATTTAAAATGTTAATATTTGTAGAATTACAATAAAACTAAGTAATGGAGTATTTTAATTAACGTTTAAAACATAAAATATTAAAATGAACATTACACATAAAAAGATCAAAATAATATTTGAGTCTTATTTTGATTCATACTAACAAAATCCGTCGACAAGAACGCGGAAGAAGAAATGAAGCAGCTCCCAACGCTGCTGATGAAGTCCCTCTCAGTTTGTTCTTTACCAGCCTCCACAACCACCCTTCAACAAATTGCTCTCCATCAACCCAAAGGTGTCACTTCCTTCTTCTTCTCTCTCTTCGCGTGTAATTTGGTTTTTCTGTTACCCCTCAGTGAGAGTGAGAATTTTCCGATGTTGGGCATGAAGTGGTTCACTAGTTCAATTTACGATTTTAATTTGAATAAAAATGCTTGTTGAAGAGAAGGGTACTCGAGTGTTGGTTTTAAGTTGTAGTTTTCGTTATGGAAATAGCAGAAAAGTACGGGCAAATGTTGTTCATGCAGTCGAAACTGCAGTCACGGACTGTTTTATACTGATATTCATGGTCTCAAAAGTGTAACTATGTATGTTTGACATCCTCGTTGCCCCTGCTATTTTGCTCATTACATGTTAAGTAAGAATGTCATATGTCAGAAGTAGTTTCGCTGTTTTGGCTGCAGCTTCATCTGCATGTGTTCTATATACATAAATAAACACTTGCATATAGTACTGTAGATTAAATCCACAGTCATACATGGGAAAGTCATATTCTTTTAAACTCACTGAATTATTTTATGAATAGTTTGGGTTTGGTAGGTGTTGCAAAGGTTGTACTGAAAAAGGGGAAGACACAAATCTTTAAGGATGGCAACCCAATGGTGTACAGTGGAGCTGTTGATAGAATCATCGGGCGGCCACCTCCTAAGACTGGAGATATTGTTCTGGTTGCAGATGGGACTGAGAAACCAATTGGATGGGGCTTGTACAACTCCGTTTCTATGTTCTGTGTTCGGCTTATGCAGCTTGAAGATGAAGCTACCAGGTTTGTATATTAGAGCTGTGAGACATGGTGGAGGGTTTTGTTATCGATTGATAATTACTGATCCACTTGGGGAACTCGGCCTTCAAAGATAACCATTAAGGGGCAAGAACCAAACACTTGAATACTCTAGCGAGCACCCCATAATACCCAACTCCCCAATTGATAATATTTACCTAAGAATGTATTTTACTTAACTTTATATGAATTGCAATAATTCCTAAACAACTCAATACATCGTAAGCATGATTTTCCGTTGACATCACCAGATCTTGATCTTTAATTCGTGATAATGCAGCGATTCATATTGTGCACTGAATATGGAGAAACTGATTGAAACAAGAATCGATGCTGCTGTTGAAGTGCGTAGAAGGTTGGGTCTTCCATCAGTCCACACAAATGCATACCGTCTAATCAATAGCGAGGGTGACAGGTGAGAGATGAAGGCTTGAACTTTTCTTTTCATGTTTTCAATTTGTCAACTTTAATGTACTCTGTCAGGCGCTCCTATGTGACAAGGTGGATAGGATGGAGGGGGAAATTGTTAGATTGGAAAATATAAGGGGAGGGAAAGCTAGGGAGGTCATAGGCAGGGAGGTGCGGATGCTTGAAATTCTACAGTCTTCTATCCTCTGTTTCTTGTTTTGTGAATGATTTTCATCTAACTGTGATTTACCAGAGTTAAGTACACTATATGTTTAACTTTATTTCATCAAGGAACGCCTTTTAGCTCTTTAATAATACGTATTGCATGCCTACATTCATCATTATGGCTACCTATCACTTTATAAATTAATGCATTATATCTTCTTGATTTTGTTAAATGGGAAAGACAACTGAGACAAATAGTGCTGAGACCGTGTGTATGAATGATTTCATATAGTTTATTTATATAGGCTAATTATATAATTACATATAATGAGAATATTCAGTTTCCTCTACATCAGAAAATATATCCCTTTAGAATTGCTGTACAATAAATATATGATATTTATCTTTATTTTCTACACTTTACTTGGGATGCTGTTAACAATAATGTGGTTATGCATTGTACTACGAAGTACCAACAGTACTAAGGTATTAATATGTGGTACATGTTTTGTCAGATGCATGTATCTCTTTTTATTTGAATGTCTATCATTGCAGCTTCAAATACTAAGTAGGTCTGATCAAGAATATTGCATGATTTTGAATTGGGTTTGACTGTTCCCTACAGATTATCAGGATTGATAATTGATGTCTTTGGAGATGTAGCTGTAGTAGCATCATCTGCTGCTTGGGTTGAGAAATACAAATCAGAGATAGAGGCTTGCATTGGGAAAATCGATTACATCAATCATATAAACTGGAGGCCATCTGTTGATATTTTGAAGGAAGATGGAGTGAATGAATCCAATTTAAAAGAAATGCATTCGTCTACATGTCCTGAAAGAACAAAGGTATGTAATGATTCATCAACAATGCAATTTTTTTTTATTATGCTTAAACCTTGGGGACAGGCATGCGTTCTGCTGTATGATAAAGACTAAGCCTGACATTGATCTTAGTAAAGGAACAGGTATTCTGCATAGACCTGAGCCTTACTATTTTCTTAATAGTCATCAAATTGATGTGTGGCACAAGATGAATAGCCACAATAAATAATGAATGCTCCATAAGGTTAATCACAAAGTTGAAGAATCACTGAACCTACCTAATAATATGTATACATCCTATGAAGATATAATTGAACAGAATTAGTTGAATGGAAATGTTTTCACAGAAAGGTGAGAACACACCCTGGAAAATCCATATTGAATGAACATAATTTATTTTTCTATTTTTGTTCTTCTTTTATTAAGCACATCAATTATATATTTTTGCTCTTTAAAATGTGTTTTAGTCAAATAAAGTTTCCAGAACTAAGGATCTGAAAAATATGGTTCCCATCTGGCAGATTGTGGAAAATGGAATTGTATACACAATTTCACTAAAGGGGCAGAAGACTGGATTCTATGCAGATCAGCGTGAGAATCGCCAGTTTATATCAAGAATTTCAGATGGTCTAAGGGTTCTTGATCTTTGCTGCTATAGTGGCGGTTTTGCTCTAAATGCTTTGCATGGAGGTGCTTTAAATGTCACTGGTAGGTTTTATGCTGTTAATTACTATATTTTTTTCTATTAAGTATCATTGCTATGATTGAGATTATAATACTGTTGATACTTTGGTTTTTCTACTGTCTCATGCTTGCAATTTGGAAAGGAAGGATGCATACAACTTACCGTCATTGAGCTAGTGATGTTAAGTATAATGGACTCTAATCCAAATTTGGAACTAAACTTATAACATGTATTGTTAAATTTTATGATGGTCAAACCTATTAATCATTAATCAAGCAAGAGTCTATCATTATTGTGGACCATTGGCTGAAAGACTTTTAGTCATCCAATTGCCTGCAGGCCATTTGTATAACAACTGTGACTGATCCTGTTTGTTAGAGAAGATTAAGAATGGTAATGAAAAATTAAGAGTGGGAATGACTGACTCTATTGTTTGTCTCCCTCATTCATGCAATGAAATAAAGGGTAATACAAGGTATATAGGTCCACCCTAATAAGTCATAATAACCTTAGCACTATTCTGTATCTTTTCCCTGACTTGAAATACTACAAGTCTTCAAAGTTAGATTTGAGATTCATCAGTAGCAATAGACAATTTTCTTGAGTTTATATTATAACGATCTTCTAAGTTCTTTGCGAGAAACAAATATGTACTGTGACAGTTTCTTTGATCAGTATTATATTGTGGCTACTGAACTGATTTGACAAGTCTGATTATGTCTTCAACTTTGATAGGCATTGACACATCCCTGCTAGCTTTGGAGCTTGCTAAAGAAAATGCTCTACTGAACAGCATTGATGCTGGAAGAATATCCTTTTTGAGGGAAGATGCAACTGAATTTATGAAGGGTGCTCTCTTGAGAAATGAATCTTGGGATATTGTCATCATCGATCCTCCTAAACTGGCACCAACGAAAAAGGTATTAATTATGACAGCATATATATTGTTATGTTACAGCATAATTTTACACATTGGTTTTAGGTGACTTCAGAAGAGAATCACAGGTCAAAGTGAAGCAACTTGGTTTTAGGCTTTTAGCGTGAGTGGGGTTTATTGAATGAAAGGCTTTTGGATGCAGATGAATATGTTAATCCTACTTTCAAATGTGTGTACATTACAAACAACCTACTCTCGCCAAAATGACTCTATAAGATAATATATAACATGTCTTTTTGCATAGAAAGAATGGATGTGTTCCCAGTAATGGAGGTTCTTCACTGCTTGTTTATGATATGATTTATGTTTTTGGTTTATTTTTTCTTTCATTTTCTAATATGTCCAATAACATTCTGTTATTAACTAATATTATAAAATTGATTGTTGTGGTTCTTCTTGTATAGTGTGTCTGTGATTCAATTGTGTTGTAGTTGAGCTAATATCGTGTTTCCACAAGGTGCAACAGTTTCTTTCTTCTATGGTATTGAAAACCCTGATAGTTAGTTTTGTAAATTCCCAACAACCTGCTTTGGGATATTTCTTGAAAATCTTCACATAAGTTGGTCTAATGCTTACTTAATCCTTTTCATTTCCCAAAACATGTAACTATCTTAAAAATGTTTCCATTTTGAAGTGATTTAATAATGTTTGCTGTTTATACATATCTTAATGAATGTAACTATTTGAAGTGGTACTTACATTGCTAGTCTTCAGTTTACTGATTTGCTACAAGTAAAAGATTCAAGTTTTAAACCCACTCCTCTTTTTGGAAAAGAAATAGTATTATCAACAAATAATAGAGAATAGTAATCCTACTATACTTTATTAAAAGAACATTGTTTCTTCTACTAACTTTGAGTTTTCTGTCTTCGAATGTTTTATCATCTGACAGGTTCTACATAGTGCATCTGGTATGTACAGGAATTTGAATTCACTTGCCATGCAACTTACAAAAAGAGGTGGTCTTCTGATGACCTGTTCCTGTTCAGGAGCTGTTACCCAAAGTGGGATTTTCCTGCGTATCCTTCAGGTATTATGAATCTATATGCTTTTGATCTAAAACCTGTGAGGTTCATCGGCCAAGACATTTTTTTTGTCAGAATGATTTTTGAAGATCACAAGTTTAATAAATCGAATTTCGTTTATTTTAAAATTATGAAAACGAGTTTTATTTTATTAAAAACATAAAGGCAAAAAGTGTCATTTAGAATAGCCTCGTAAAAAATAAGTGTAATCTCTCTTTTGTTTAATCATCACTTATTTTTTCAATAATCGTTTTTGTTGTTGCCATTTTCTTTTGCAAGTTTTTCCAAAACATGTCAAGTGCTTTGATACCCGTTTGTTATAAGTTTTATAGATAAAGCAGCTGTAAAACAATACAAAAAATTTATCTATATTGAAATGAAATATATTTTTTTTTTGTTAACTATCCTAAAATAATTTATGTGCACTTCACATATTTTCATATTCAAGAAAAAATGGTGCAAATTTTGTTCATCTTTTTATAAAAGAAAATTGATGGCAAATTATGAAAGAAAGAAACTTATCAACAAGTTTTGATGTTAAAATAAAATACAAATACTATTAATAAAAATCAATAACTGGGCATCTCTTTTCATCATTTTTTAGAAGTGATTTACTATACTCTTTGAACAAAATAGATTATTTTACTATCATTTTTCAATAGGCATAGTGAAGCATAAACTGATTTTGATTTTCAATTAATTATAACAAATTAATGGTTTGGTTTGGTTTTCTTTTGACGAGAAATTTTTATGGCTTTGGAACCACATAGGACTGCATTGAAGTTGCTCTTACCCTTCTTTCATTTTAATAGGGTGCTGCATCAATGGCGGGTAGGAGAATCACAGTTCTCAGGCAAGCTGGAGCAGCATGTGATCATCCCATTGATCCATCATATCCGGAAGGGGCATACCTAACCAATATTCTTTTAAGAGTTTCATGAGTTTTGTGTTTAGGGATTTCATTCATTTAAGTTTTTTTTTGTTTTTTCATTTAATTATCTATGTTAATGCAACTTTGCAAAATATCCTTACACCAGAATCAGTAAAAAAATATGCTTTCAACATCAGTAGAAAAAAAAATTGGATTGGTTTGCTTATTGAAATTGAAAGCCCTCCTTGTTTGAGGGGCTTTAGCATAAAATGTCAAATGATCAGCCACAGTTTTACAAGAACAACGGATGAAAATCAGAATGTAAACTTCTGAACATTGATGGTATCTCAGATGTCTCCCAGAACTGCAGTACAAGAGAAGTCTTGGGTTGAAATAAAGCAACTCATTGACTACATATCCAGATTCACCTTTCACTACATATTCTTCCATTCAATGACTTGTGTTTTGTAATGTCATTAAATAAAGTTAAAGGGTTTCTTTTATTGCAGAATATCTATTTTTGAAGCCACTAAAGGTTGATCTATTTAGAAAGAAATAAAACTTATCTCACGAAAATTTGAGTTACTTTTTTGTGAGGATCTTGGTGGTGCATAATTTTATAAGGATTTTATAAATTCAGAGTTTTGAAACACATTTTGATCTTGGTGAATTCCAGGGATTTAACTTTTATGTGTACATGACAATTCATCTTGTTTAAGAATATTAACAAGGTTACGAGTCTCACTTCAGATGGGATTTAAGCTTTGAATGGAGAGACTGAAATTCTTTTACTTAAATTTTATTATTTTGCCCTAGATAATTTTACCTTTACTATTTTCCCACGTATCCAATCGCCTATCATTCAGCCTTGCATGATCACCATATGACAATAAGAATGATTATTGGACATCTCATTTTATTTTTAAAATCCGTTGATTAACACTCGTCATCATTTGTCTCTATATGATACAGATTATATCATATCATCTCCCATATAAACAATTTTCTATTTTTTTATTCTCTATCACCAAGTGTCACATTTTGGTTCAATAACTTTTCTTGTTATGGTAATTTAAGTCTTTCAGCATATATTAACATCACATCATTGAAAATGCCGTGCTAAACCTTTAAACAAAACCACTTTCTTCAATCAAGAAAAGGGCCAAAAGGTATACTAAGTATACCAAGCAGGAACTGTCCTATGTTTCTCAAATTGCATAAAAGTATTTTGACCACTATTTATCATACAATACAAGATATTCAAATTCTGATGCAGAAGACCGAAGGACAACAAAAGAATTTTTGTGGGGTAGGGCATAATAACAACACCTAACATCTGAGTAGTCATTATTATTAGCATGTTATGAGTATTGATGTACAAAATCACAACCGCCATTATAGTTTGTATGATGCACAAGCCGTGTAAATCTGTGAATATAAACCACAATTCGTTTCTTCCTCATTGCCCTCCATGGTTTCTATTCCATGACAGATAAGAGGGATCTCCAAGTTGCCTAAAGAAAAAGACAGCCATATTAGGAGCTCATTATATTCAAAACAGCCATTCTGCATGTTTAAATATATGAATTTTAGACAAAAGTAACTACTTAGCAATTTCAATGGATATAGAGTTGAATATACTAGAAGGGTCACAACATGCTATGCCATTTCTGGTCAAATACATATTTAAGAAACTAAGGAACAAAATATGAATGTGCATTATGCTATGCCATGAACAGACTGGAGTTAAAAGAGACTTGGAAGGTAGAAAGCAGTAGGGGATTTCATTACCTTGGCTTGACAAGATATACAATAGTAAAGGCCAAGGCCAAAAAGAAGCTCAATCCTCCAACAGTGAGATAAGCAATGCCAAGAAAGTCATTTTTCCCGCCAAGCCATGTAGTAGTTGACAGAACAAGCTTCTTCTTGCCATTAAAACTGTATGTGTTGTAGTAATTTTGCAAGTTCACGTGTATGACATCGCCTTTCTCCAGATCCACCTCAATCCTTCCATATAACTTCCTAAAAGTTGGCAAAGCAGCAGTGCGCATCCAAACAATAAGATCCTCTTGCTCATTCAACTGTGCCATAAACATTCAAAAAGTGAGAAACTTATAGAGAATGCCTAGACAATCACAAGATGAACAATGAAATAAATAGATTGGAAGTTACAAAAACCAGAGTAAATGAATTTAAAAGAAAATGGTTTCCAACTGATTGAACCAGTTCAAGATTAGCCTCAGACAAGAAACACAAATGACTGAATCATAACTAGAAATTCAACAACTTTATTAAATTTGGACAAGGACAATGGTCTAACGACAAGCCCAATTATTATCTACAGCTATCATTCAGCATAGACTAAACTAGGAATTCTGAAAACAGCAAAAGGTCAATAGCTCGATCCTCACAGCAATAAAAAGATGGTTGCTCAATTATATATTTGCTTCCATACTTTGGGCATTTACAAAATAAACGTATTAATTTTCCTTCCGATTGATAAATAAGTTGTTCAGCCAGTTATATTCAACTCAAATATTTAACCAGATACTTCTATTTCAAACTTTATGTTGCCAGTTTTAGTTTTTAAAATCAAAAGTTTTGGTTTTAGTAAAAGAAAAACAAAAGGATCAAAAGAATACAAAACCCATGTGCACAATATGTATACCAATAATTAGACAACCTGAAGTGTAATTAAGTAGCAAAAAACAAAATTAAACAAAAACTTTTAAGCACGAATATATTTATATTTAGACAGAGGCTTACAATAATAGACTGCTGCATATATCAAACAACCTCTATTTACTGTTCTGGACTTTATGAAGGACAAGCATTATGCATATAGATGCTAACTTGAATCAATGTTTGAGTTCAAATAAAGGCTTACTGGTATTGTTTCATTGAGATGACCGCCACCTATTAAAGAACCATTCTGGAAATTTTTTGGAAAAACATCACTCCCAAATTTGTGATCCCTGTCACTTTTCCATGAGATATCTTTCTTGTTCACCGTCAAATTATTTCCGTTGCGTGAGAAGCTGTATGTATCATTGAACAAGCTCCAAGCTATAAGACCACAGGGTACAATTGGCTGTCCATTTGCATTATCTTCAGGCTCACAACCACTTACTGAGTTTGCATTTTTAGAATCCCTCAGCTGCTCATCATTTCGGCTTTTAACATACCTAAATTTACCAAAGTATGAACATATTTATAATAATTATATGAAAAATAACTATTTGCATTAGATCCCACTATTAACCAAACAAACTTTGAAACTGAAAACTATTTAAGGAACCACTCACTGAAGGCATAGATGTGATGGACAATTGAGAATATAAGACCAATGCATGAAAAATAAAGTTCATAATTTCATATCATTTCCTCTTAAAATTTCATCCCACACAAATAGATAACTTTTATATCTGATGTAGTTCTACAAACTTCTTCAAGTTTAAAAAAGAATCATAACTTATTACTCTAAAGGTTTATAATTACTATTTTTGGCATTTTACATGATAGCTTTTAATTAACTTCATCTCAGATGTCAAACTAGTTATTTATCTACTATCATTGTAAAACTGTAGCATTCCTACAGGAAACCATGAAACAAAAGCTGAAGTTCAGTGAAACTCAACAACTCTTGTTAGCAACATGCAAAACTTTTCAATGAAAGAGAGGGTTGTGTAAGATATTTGGCAGCCAGCCATAAATCATTGTTGAATACTTGAATCCTTATAACATTTATCAACAATAAAATTCTCATCGGCTGGTAAACATGAAATTCAAACTGATGAAGAATTGTGTGATTCACAAGAAACAAAGGGGTATATACCGGCGATGATTCTGGTAAAAGTTGTCAAGCTGGTAGTAAACATAGATAGGAGACTTCATACGCTTGTCCACCTATTCACCAGAGCAATGTATAAAAAAAATAAACAAATGAAGCAACCATTAAAATTTGAAATCCACAATTCATCAATTTTGGGAGCAGATTTAATAGAAAAATAATGGTTAAACATCAAAAAGAGAAATCAGCATCAAGAAAACCTACATGTAACTCCCTGTTGCATGGCTTTTCTCCAGGAGTCTGAATGAATGCCACCTTGTCAGTTACATTTGACGGTATGCACTGTGAGTCATACCTATCAATAATTTCAACAACCTGATAGATATAATAAAAATCAGCACGCAGCAGGATTTAAAATAAACAGAACTGGTAAGCGAAATTCAAAAAGTATTGCACAAAAGCATACATCATGCGATGCAATTAACGAAGCAACTCCAATGGGAATGAACACGACGGTGACAATCAAGAATGCTGAAATAACCTGCACGGAAAGTAATAACCCACGTAAATGATGACTTGTAAAAACATGAAGAAAATCATGGACAGCATATCCAAAGAAGTAGACTTACTGCTCGTGGTGTGAGAATAGGCTTGCACGCTGGTAATTCTTGTTGTGTAAACTTTGAGTCTGGAAGGCGAAAAATGTTCAAGTTAGAGACAAAGGACACAGACACAATTGTTGATAAATTAAACTTGATGTCTAACTTCAAGTCTGAAAGGAAACTGTCTTTCAGTAAGAAACAACAAAGGACACAAACACAATTGTTGATAAATCAAAACTTACAGTCTAACTTAAAGAATTTCGAAAAGTACTTTAGTCACCAAAATTGTGTGCAATTAGAAACAACAAAGAACACAAACGCAATAGTTTGTTGGATCAAAACAAGCCATCTAACTTCTTAAACAAATATCCATGTCAAAAGCATATGCTTACACCATCAAATCAAAAGGGGTAATGTTTGCTTAATAAAGTCCTAAAAATTTTTGAAACACAGCTTCAAAAAGTGTCTCTAGAGAAAAACTCCATCCTGCCTTTGAGAAACAAACCTCAACAAAACCATCAACCCTTCCCAATAAACAAAAACCAAAAATTGACGTGTCAAACACAAGAAAACCCACAAAATCAAAACGAAAAGCCAACAAATAAATGATAACAGAAGATAATCATTACACTTGGGTCTCTTGCTTGCTCTCCTGGTAACATTGGCATCATTGGATCCAGCACCTCCAGAGGTGGACGTAGACATGGCCAAAATCCAATTCAATAAAAAACTAAACCTTTTCCAAAGTCTCGTATACCCAGATGAGAATTAAGACCAGGGATGAAGAAATCAACAAATGAAGATTGAAATTTGAGATAGAGAGAACAAAAGGGGTCAATATAATTGAATATAGAAGGTAGGCGACCGGTTACCGGCTGGGCAGGTGATAAGGGAATTGACTTTTATTGTGTAGAGGAAGGAGGGAGGAGGGTACCTTTGGCAGGGGCGGCCGGTGACCCTTTCTCTCCCTCTCCCTCTCTTCAAAGACAGAACGGAGAAAGGAGAGAGAGAGAAAGACCAAAGACCAGTCAAACAAATACAAATATGCATAAAAAACAAACAAAATGACACGCTTTGTTCCATCGAATTCAACTACCTATGTTAGAAGCTTTTTGTGCCAATTTTTTTTTCTTTTTTTTTTCTTTCTAATTTTGGTTTTTCAAACCTTCCAGAGAACACAGACACGAACCTACCTTAAACTTCAATGTATTAAAATTCAAATTTTTGTTAAATATCAACCAGTATTTTAATCCCTCAACAGTTAAAAAAGGTTCAAACATTAGTGTTTTCCTAAAAAATATATATTACTCTCATCTTTATAAAATAGTTATAATATAATCACACATACCAATAAAAAAATGTAATCATTCAACTTCTCCCCATTTATATTTATTTAAATTTGATACGAATATGATTTACTAATATTCGGTTTTCATATTTAGTCTTTTCTTTTCGATCTTTTTAATTTCTCCAATTTCATTTTAGCATTAATTTGATCTTATTCTTAATAATAAATTAATATTACTTTTTAGTCATAATTGATAATAAAAAATACTATAATATCAATATAATCATATACTATTAATATTTATTAACGTGATATGATTCTCGTTAATAATATTATGTAAACAAGTATTATCGTATTAATATTTCTTTAATTTGTATCGATAACATTGATTCATTTTTATAAAAAATAAACTAAATAAACACTAAAATTAATAATAAAATAAAAATAATAAAAATATATATTTTTATCTGTAATTTCACAACGTCTTTTATATCATATATGACATATTCTGAAATTTAAGAATTCAAAAAAAAAAAACTAAATAACATTGAGATATTGTTGTTTGATGACTAGCAGACCTATATTATATATATTATAAGATTAAAGAAATTGAAAACTAAGTTTTTAATTTTTTTATGAGTTGTATATGTTATTAACCATATGTTAAAAAAATATATTTTCAAATATATTGTTAAGAATGAGAAAAAGACCAAACTTATGACCTTCGAACATTGGGAAATGTTTTTTCTTTGCTTTGACTTTTTTTATGTATTACGTATTAATGTGTTTTTACTTGATTACATGCCATTAATGTTAGTATTATGGTGCTTGATTTAGTCCCACATCGATTAGGATTGTGAGATGAGGTTCTCTATTTTGTTATATAAGCAACCCTATGTAAAGTTTGAGATACACACAGAAATAAAAATACTTCCTAGTGTAGTCGTGGACGTAGGCATACATATTTTAGCCGAACCACGTTAAAATTCTTGTGTCGTTTATTTTTCTCTCCTTCATTCTTTCCTTTATTATTGTCTTGTTCCTAACAATTGGTATCAAGAGCCAATTTTCTTAGTATGCTCTGTGGTTGCAGCTTTGTCTCGATCTTCCACATCGAGAAAGATTTGGTCTTTTTCTTGGGAATCTCGGTTTAGAGAAGCAAGTGAGAGCAATGGCATTGGAAGAAGGAAAGGTGAGGATCGAGAAGTTCGATGGCGATGACTTCGGGTTCCGGAAGATGCGAGATGGAAGATTATCTCGTATCGAAGAAGTTGTATCTACCCTTGACAGAGCGTAAGCCAACCGACATGGAGCGATCAGAATGGGAGTTGTTAGATCGGCAGACGCTTGGTGTGATCCGGCGACATTAGCCAAGAATGTTGCGTTCAACATCATGAACGAAAAGACAACCGTAGATTTGATGCAGGCGTTGTCAAATATGTATGAGAAGCCCTCTGCAGCCAATAAAGTGCATTTGATTCGCAGGCTAGTCAACCTCAAAATGGGTGAAGGTAACTCGGTTACTAATCATATTAGTGAATTTAATGCAATTATTGCGCAGTTGACATCAGTCGAGATAATATTTGATGATGAGGTGAAAGCATTAATTTTATTATCATCTCTACCGAAAAGTTGGGGTGCAACTGCTATCTGCAGTAAGTAATTCTGCAAGCAATAACAAGTTGAAGCTTGATAACATCCGTGACTTGATCTTAAGCGAAGATGTTCGCAGGAAAAATTCAGTAGAATCTTTCAGGTTCTAATTCGAGTTCGAGCATTGAGTACTGAAACTAGAAGAAGAAGTCGCCGAAAGGTCGTAATCAAGGCCGAGGCAGATCAAAATCCGAGAGGAGATCACAAGCAAAAGTCCGGAATGATATCACTTGTTGGAATTGTCGAAAAAGGGCCACTTTTCAAATCGAGTGTAGGGCTCCAAAGAAGGACAACAACAACAACAAGAAGCAAGATGATGATCAATCGAGCAAATGCAAGAATCGATGAAGTTGAAGATGCACTCGTTATGTAGTTTAGATAATTCTATTGACTCATGAATTATGGACTCAGGTGCGTCATTTCATACTACACCTTCCTTAGAACTATTATCTAACTATGTTTCTGGAAAGTTTGGGAAGGTCTACCTTGCGAGATGGAAAATCTCTTGATATCATAGGAAGAGGTGATATTAACATCGGAACCTCTAATGGAAACGTGTGGACTTTGAATAATGTCGGACATATTCCAACCTTAAAGAGAAACTTAATATCTATAGGGCAGTTGGATGATGAGGGACATTACACCACTTTTGGAGATGGACATTGGAAGGTAATGAAAGGTAATCTTGTTGTTGCTCGTGGAAAGAAGCAAGGATCTCTCTACATGATTGCGAGATGAGGATATGATATCGGTTGCGAAGTTGGCAACAATTCCTCCTTATGGCATCGAGGCTTGGGCATATGAGTGAGAAAGGAATGAAGCTCATGATATCAAAAGGTAAAATACCTAACGTGAAGCATGTTGACGTTGGACCTTGCGAACATTGTATCTTTGGAAAGCGAGAAAAGGTTAGCTTCTCAAAAACAAGTAAGTCGTCTAAAGTTGAAAGACTAGAACTAGTGCATACAGATGTTTGGGGCCGGCTTCAGTGAAATCCCTTGGAGGTTCACAATATTATGTAACCTTCATTGATGACTCTACAAGAAAGGTATGGGTTTATTTTCTTAAAAATAAATCCGATGTGTTTTCTGTGTTTAAAAGGTGGAAAAAGGAGGTTGAGACTCAAACAGGTTTAAAGGTCAAATGTTTGAAGTCTCGATAATGGTGGAGAATATGACAGTAGTCAATTCAAGGAGTTTTGTTCGGAGAATGGGATCGGAATGATCAAGACAGTTCCAGGAACACCGGAACAAAACGGTGTGGCGTAAAGAATGAACAGAACCTTGAATGAGAGAGCAAGATGTATGAGAATCCAATCAGGATTACCCAAGGTATTTTGGGCAGATGCAATAAACACGACAGCCTATCTCATAAACGAGAGGACCATCAGTTCCTTTAGACTATAAGTTACCCGAAGAAGTATGGTCCGGAAAAGAGGTAAATCTTTCACATCCGAAAGTTTTTGGTTGTGCTTCATATGTTATGTTAGACTCTAATAGTAGAGATAAATTGGACCCTAAGGCAAAACGTTGTTATTTCATTGGTTATGGATCCGACATGTTTGGCTACGGGTTTTGGGATGACCAAAACAAGAAAATTATCGAAGTAGAAATGTTACTTTTAATGAAAACATGTTCTATAAAGACAGGATTGCAGAATCCGCAAATGTAAATAAACAACTAGAGCAAGTATCATTAGAAGAAATTTCGAGAAAGTGATGTAGTCAACCGAAGGCGGAATATACAAGTAGAGCCTATGTCGAGCCCGAGACGGAACTCGAACAAATAGTAGAGTCAGCAACTCCTGAAATCTTGGTTAGAAGATCTAGCAGAACAATTGTAGCACCACAAAGGTATTCCCCTTCATTGCATTATTTGTTGTTGATCGATGCTCGGTGAGCCGGAGCATTTTGCTGAGGCTATGCAGGGAGATGAATCTATTAAGTGGGAGCTAGCAATGGAAGATGAGATAAAGTCCCTTCAGAAGAATAAAACATGGTCTTTAACCAAGCTACCAGAAGGAAAGAAAGTTTTGCAAAACAGGTGGGTCTATAGGTTGAAAGAAGAACCAGATGGCAGCAAAAGATATAAGGCTAGACTCGTAGTGAAAGGGTTCCAACAAAGACAAGGAATTGACTTCACGAAATTTTCTCTCCTGTTGTCAAGATGACTACCATCGAGTTATCTTGAGTATAGTAGCTGCGAAAATCTTCATTTGGAGCAGTTAGATGTCAAAACTGCATTCTTACATGGGGATCTTGAAGAGGAAATTTTTATGACACAGCCAAAAGGTTTTGAAGTACAAGGCGGAGAAAATCTTGTATGCAAGCTTCATAAAAGTTTGTATGGATTAAAACAAGCGCCGAGACAATGGTACAAGAAGTTTAATGAGTTTATGAGAAACTCAGGATTTCGCAGATGTGAAGAAGATCATTGTTGTTATGTGAAGAAATATGTTGATAGCTATATCATTCTTGCCTTATATGTTGACGACATGTTGATTGTTGGAGCTAATATGGCGGAAATTGACAAGTTGAAGAAACAATTGTCGAGAGCTTTGAAATGAAGGATTTTGGTCCAGCCAAGCAAATTCTTGGTATGAGAATCTCCCGAGATAGAGATAAAGGTATTTTGAACTTATCTCAAGAAAAATATATAGAAAAATTGCTTAGCAGATTCAATGTTGGGAATGCTAAAACCAGGAATACACCTTTGGGAACTCACTTAAAGTTTTCAAAGAGGCAATCTTCTCAAACAGAAGAAGA